TTTTATTGATAGAAAATGATTTATTCCTCCTTGCAGTTATTCTTTCTTTTAAAATATAGGGAAAAATATCAAAATGTGACTAGGTCATAGCACAAGATATTAGCTCTGGGTTTTATTTGTTCTGTTGTATTCATTATTTTTTGTTGTATCATTATTTTCTTCTTAGTTATATCACCTCTTCCCTCCTTATTCAGGACCTTTTTCTTATTGCATCGAAGGGGAATGATGTAGAGGAATTTGGAAGATTTGAAAAGGAAACAAGTAGATATATTCAGAGTAGATTAAAAGAAAAATATTTCTTTTTCACTTGCCAAAATCAGGCACGGGAAAAACCCAGTGATAGAGCATCCCACACTTCCCCTCAATGCACTTCATACTAACAAGAGCCCTGCTTCCTTCCCATCTCAGATAAATGGATGAATGAATGGTTGGGAGGATAGATGAATAAACTGATGAATTTATTAGACGGATGGATGGACAGATAGATGAATGGATGGGTGGATGATGGATGTATGGATGGAGGATGGATGGATGGATGTGTGGATGGATAGATAAATGGATAAATTGATAGATGGATATATGGATGTATTGTATGTATGGATGGACAAACAGATGAATGAATAGATGAACAGATGGGTGTGTGGATGGTTGAATAGATAAATGAATAGATGGATGGATGGATGGATGGAATGGATGTGTGATAAATGAATGGGAGTATGGGTAGATAGAAGGATGGATGAATAGACAGATGAATGGACAGATAGATTGTGGATGGTATGAATGAATGAATGAATGAATACATGGATGAATGGATGATGTGTGAATGGATGAATAGATAAATGGATGAATGGATTGATAGATTAATGAATGGATGGATGGACAGAGAGAATGAACAAATACATGAATGGATGGATGGATGTGTGGATGGATAGATAAATGGATGGATGAATGGATGGAGAGATGAACGGATGGATGGATGGATGGATGGATGGATGGATGGATGGATGGACAGATAGATTAATGGAGATGGATGGATGGAATGATGGGATGATGAATGGATGGAACAAGGAAAGATCGGTGTACCCTTCACTGGGTTTCCTAATGGTAACATCTCATGAAACTACCTATAATGCAGTATCACAAAGAGGATTCTGCCATTGACACAGTTCACTTGTCTTCTGATTTCCCCAGTTTTACTGTGTGTGCATGTGTGTATTCAGTTTTATGCCGCCTTAGCACCTGTGTAAGTTTGTGTATTCATCACCAGCACTGAAGCAGAACAGTCACATCACAGCAGAGTCTCTTGCTTTACCTTTCATAACCACAGCCATTAATTCCTACACCACTCCCCACCAAGTCCCGATCCCTGCCAGCCACCAATCAGTTCTTCATTTCTATAATTTTGTCATTTCTAGATTGTTGTATACATGGAATTATACAGCATGTATAATTTGGGATTGACTTTTTAAACTTAGCATAATTCCCTAGAGTAGTATCCATATTGTGCAGATATCAGGAGTTCATTCATTTTTATTGCTGAATAACATTACCTGGTATGCATGGTCCACAGTTTCTTCAGCCATTTACACACTGTGGTACATCTGGATTGTTCCCAGCTTTTGATTATCGTGTCTTCTGTTTCTCTTTTCTTGCCTTCCTGTGGATTACTTAAACATTTTTGAGCATCCTCACCCTAAGACATGATTTTAGGATACTCATCCTAAAAAATGATTTATTGATACTGTCTTTGAGTATCTTTTTGTATGATGTTCTTACAAAGAACATCTGGCTCTAGATATTACAATACAGACATACATACATGGCTTATCACAGTTAATTGGCATTGAGATTTTACCACTTCAAGCCAGGTGTGGAAATCCACTTCGACTTAGGTCCCTTTACCTTTTCTGCTTTTAAATATCATCATCTTGACTACCAGATGGTGTTATGATTTATGTTTTAATCATCAAATACATTTCATAAAACTCATGGAAAACAGTATAGTCTGTTGCATTCACCCACATTTCTGCTCTTTCTGTTGTTTTTTTCTTCCTTCTCAATTCTCCAAGATTATTTTTCATATTTTCATTTTTTTAAAGTTTTTCTTCATCTGAGAATGTCTTTATTTTATCTTCATTCCTAAAACATATTTACATTAGATTCAGAATTCACAATGACGATTCTTTTCTTACATCGTGATAAATGTTAGGCTACTTTCTTCTGGCTCCCAGGGTTTCAGATGAGAGATTTACTAACCTTTGAGTGGGTGTTCCCTCGAGGTAACATGTCATGGTTCTCTGGCTGCTTTAAAGCTTTTATTGTGTTCAGATTTTAGAAGTTTAATTATGGTGTGGTTTAATGTAGATTTCTCTCAGTTTATCATATTTAGTGTTTGCTTAGCTTTCTGAGTCTGTAGGTTTTTGTATTTCTACAGTTTTAGGAAGTTTTTCAGCCATTATTTCCTCTCGTACTCTTTCAGTTCCACTCAGTTTCTCTTCTCTTTCAGAGAGTCCAGTGACACCAATATCAAAATTTTTATTATTGTCCTACGGGTACTTGAGGCTCTGTTCACTTTCCTATCAATCTCCTTTCTCCCTGTTGCACAGATTGGGTGCCACACACTGATCAGCTCTCAGGTTCAGTGGTTCTCACCTCTGCCATCTCCATTCTTCTACTGAGACCATCTAGCGAGTTCTTGTATTTGCGTTATTGCATTGTCCATGTGGTATCCATGTGGTTCTTTTTTATAACTTCTTTTTCTTCATTGAGATTTTCTGCTATTTTGTTTGCTTCAAGACAATTTACAATTGCTTGTTGAAGCATTATTTTATTCATGATGGGTGCTTTAAAATACTAGCCAGGTCACTCCAATATCTGATTTGTCTCAATATTGGCATCAATTGACTGTTTTTCTTAATTCAAGTTGTCTTTTCTTTGGTTATTTTTATAATGGGTGTTTTTCAGTTGTATCATGGGTATTTTGAGCAATATAATAGGAGACTTTGAGCCCTATGTAAAAATCTTTTATTTTTGTGGGTAGTTGTTGTACTTAGGCTTAACGCACAGATCTTGGCCCACTTTGTGTGCTGTGGTTCCAATAAGAGTTTAATTTTGGTTTATCTTATGCATCAGGGACTCCCTGATGCTGCTGAAAGGACAGATGAGATTTCTCCAGTCCAACTGCCTCCATGTTGGGGAGATGAGCCTCCAGCAGTTGGAGAAGAAGGGGACTTCTTAGGATCCAAGGTCTTTGTTGCTTCAGGAGGCATCCTGCTGTGGGGCAGCCAGTGTTTTCAGGCCAGGTCACTTGTCATTGTGGAATACTCCTTGCGCTGTCTCCTGGGTGTTTGTTGTGATTCCTCTACCCTCAGGGGAAGAACAACCATTTCCCTGGCTGTTCATTATCAGTGTCATCCCAGCTGATCCCCTCTTTGGTGTTGCAGAGCCAGCTTGGTTTGTTGAAAGGACTCCTGGTCCCTCCAGAGAGGCAGCCAAGTTAGGCTACCTTCTGTTACTAGAATGTTAGAAATGTGAGGTCTTCTGGGTGGGGAATTTAATATGTGTGTGTGTGTGTGTGTGTGTGTGTGTGTGTGTGTGTGTATTCTTTATTTGTAGTTTTAAAATATTTTACAGATCTTCTAAATTTGTTGCATTAATAATGTTATTCAACCTTTTTAACTGGTATAGCTGGTGTTCACTGAGTATTTACTGTGTACCAGGCCTGGTGCCAAGGTATTGGAATACTAATTTGTCTTAATACTTACAAGAATCTTTATCCCTGTTTTTATTGAAGGCTGAAGCTGAGACTTCAAGGTTTTTCTCTGTTTGCTGTACTGGCTGCTTTTCAGCTCCTGTGCCGCTGTGAGGGTCTCCTAGTGACCCTAGGGAGATGTGGTTAGACTCTGAAACCCTCCTTAAACATTGTCCCTTTGGCATTTAGACTGCTTTCAGTATTAAATGTAATAATAATGCAATAGACATCTTCATGGAAATAGCTTTATATTTTATTTAAACTATTTCCTTAGGATAGAGTCCTTTTATCTTGAGAGAGTAGAGCATATGCATTTTTTATGGATCAGTGACTGTATTTTTCTGATACCAAATTACTTTATAAAAGTCTTATGCCAGTGTACTCTGCCAGCAGCAATAAATGAAAAAATATACCAATTTTATTCTATCCTCAATAGTGTTGGGTACCATAAAACAAGTAAGTATTAGTTGAGAATGTATTTTTGAGGAAGAAATGTGGGCAAGCATTGATTAATTAGGTCAGTATATATTGGGGACATAGGCTCTACCCAGCAGTGACTCTAACACTGGCGAGACAGGGTGAACAGGCAGGTAGCCCCTGGATGGACAGAGTCAAGGAGAGAGGTCTCAGAGAACTCACCTGTGATATGAGGGCATTGGAACTTTTCATGTTATTGAGGAAGGCATCAACTGGCCTGCAGGCAGATCTTTGCTCTGGTGGCCATGTCACATACCATCCTTGTTGGAAGATTTACCTTAATATAACAGCTGAATAAGAGACATATCCAAATATGCTTGATGTTGCAGGCTAATTCCACCTTTTATATTGTGGACAAGCTAAAAGCTTTATCAGAAACACTGCTGGAAATGTCCAGCCTTTTCCAGAGAAGTGGAAGTGGCCAGATGTTCAACCAGCTGCAGGTGAGTGGTTGGTCTCTGCCACCGAGGGATAGGGAGCTACTGCTATGGCATGTCCGAGACATCAGGGCTGCCCTGTAGAAGATTCTACAGAGTCACATCAGGCATGGTGGTTCTAGTTGACTCATATAATTGACGTAAAATTAGAGATGTGTGAAAACTTTTTGTGCATTTTCAGTATTTTACCCATGCAAGATGGTATAATCGTGAGAATGATTAATAATTTGTTAATAGTAACCTGTTCTTTAAATTCTGTATTAAGCTTAATGTTTTTTAGATTGTTTGCATACTTTTGAATTGTAGGTCTATTCAACAATCAATGATTGTTTCCTCATATTCTGTATTGACAACTTAATATTTTAAAAAGGAACAACTTACAGTTTAGAATGGCCTAACTCCATTAGAGCCTGACAATCATTAATGTAAAACTTTAATTCACGTAGATCACCTAATAATTTTTTGGGCATTTGTGTAACTTCAACTTACCTTAACTCTGATAGGATGAGAAAATATGCCTGCATTTTAATTCATGTTTAGTTTTTCATTAACCAGCAGGTAAGTAGTTCAGAGTACGGACTCAGGAGCTAGAATCATTTGAGTTTGATTCCCAGTTCAACCCCTGTCACCAGTTGTGTGATCTTGGACTAGTCACTGAAATTCTCTGTGCCTTAGGTTTCTTCCCTGAGAAATGAGGAAGTGATAGTAGTTGTGAGGTATAAATGGGTTAGGATACATAGAGCCTTTGAAATAGGTTTTGACACAGAGAAAATGCTACTGGGTGAGTCTGAGTTTTCCAAGAAACAGATGCCAAGACAGGATTACATGTGCAATAATTTTATTTTGGGAAATGGCTGCTGAGCAAAGGAAGAGGAAGCTAGACAGGCTGGAAGCAAGGTTGTCAATGGTGATGCAAGTCTCACCCTGAGGAAAGCAGAGAGGGAGAGGGTTGGGTGGAAGCATCCTGGTGGACCCTGCAATTTAATGGACATCAGATAAGGCTGAGAGGGAGTCACAGCGCTAAAGTCAGTTATCAAGGTAGGGGTCCCATGTCAGTGGAGTCCTGTGGCTCCTGGGAGTGGGCCTGATGTGGTGGTCATTGGTGAGGGACAGCCCATGGGAGACATGGCCTCAGGGCAAAGTGCCATGGATTCAGAGTGCAGCAGTGGGACCTGCCATTTCCGTTTCCTGCAGTTGGGGGTCTGTGATGTTCATTCTCACAGCGACCATGGCCATATGTATTAGCTAGTATTGTAATCTTCTTTAATTTGCTTGTGCATGGATTAATCTGTTAATACAGACATCAGCAAACCTTTTCAGTTAATGGGACAGATAGTATTTTAGACTGGATAAGGTCTCTGCTGCAACTATATATTGTGTGCAATAACATATCACACAATATCATAAGTGCCAAGTTGAGAGTATACAAAGATCTAGGAGAACATAAAGCAGTGCCTAACTCGGCCTCAAAAATTGGGCAGCTCCTTGTGAAGTCTATAGTGTACCTGAGTACTAAGTGGCCATGTCAGAAATCAAAGTCACATGTCCAAACCAATTGAAGAACTTATCTTCCATAGGTTAAGACAGTGTAAATTGTTCCTCTATTTCTTAGCTTTGGGATCATGCTCAAGGGAACTTGCAGTGCCTTGGGTTTGTAGTAGTCGATGTCTATGTTCCAGGCCTGGTTCCGCCACTAGATGGAGTGGTTAGAGCTTCTGGGTAAAGCCCTAACTTTGCTGTGCTTCCCTGCTCCATCAGTAAAAGACAACAGTAACCTCACGGGGATGTTGTTGAGATTAAAAGACATGATGCATAATAGCTGCCCTGCACATTGACTGGCAAATAGCAAATGCCCAGTGAAGGAAGATAAATAAGATTTCAAAAAAGAAAAGCAAACACCAAACTTTCATAATAAAGTCTTGTCATCCTTAGACAAGATTAGTTAAAACCATCAGATGTAGGCTGGGCGCGGTGGCTCAAGCCTGTAATCCCAGCACTTTGGGAGGCCGAGACAGGTGGATCATGAGGTCAGGAGATCGAGACCATCCTGGCTAACACGGTGAAATCCCGTCTCTACTAAAAAATACAAAAAACTAGCTGGGCGAGGTGGCGGGCGCCTGTAGTCCCAGCTACACGGGAGGCTGAGGCAGGAGAATGGCATGAACCTGGGAGGCGGAGCTTGCAGTGAGCTGAGATCCGGCCACTGCACTCCAGCCTGGGCGACAGAGCGAGACTCCGTCTCAAAAAAAAAACAAAAACAAAAACAAAACAAAAAAACATCACATGTAATAAGGTGAATGTGAGAAATAAAAGAGCTAATTACAAAGGGTACATATTATTTGAGAATTCTTGTCTGGAGCTCCCGTGTTATCAGGTTATGTGCTGGGCCAAAATCTGGATAGCATACAAATATTCTCTAAGAAATTGGCAAATTCCAAAATTAATTCCCAGCCATTGATCCTGAGGCAGAGCCTGGATACATCAGCATCTTTCCCTCTCAGCTTCTTGCTGGTTTTTGTATGTCGTAAGTGTGGGGCAGTGCAATGCAAGTACATGGATATCATTGGCAAAATAAAGGGGCAAGATGTCATTAAGTTGATGAAAAAATCTTGGAGAACTCTCCACAGTAAACGATTTGTCTCCAATCATTGACAAATGAGGCAAAGTCACAACCATCAATAGTAATGAAAGAATAATGGTACAGATGAAGCAATGAAAGATGTTTCTGAAGATGAGTAGCAAAGCATTGAGAGAGGGTTTGGGAAATTCTGAAATCCTTCCTCAGAGTTTTTATAATGATGACCCTCTCTTTATAACTGGCCTCTGAGGAAGGCCATGCAAAGGAAAGGAAAGAATCTTATAGAAAGTAAAAAATCACTATATAGGTTCGTTAGAAAATTTTGCCAAAAACAAACCACTTAATTCATTCTTTGTTTTTAGTATTAATACATAATTACAACTACAACATAAATTTTTGTAATTGTTGATTTTGTTTTTCAAGGTAAAGTCCTAATAAGATGTTATCCCGTTATTTATTGTGGTGTTTTAAAACTTCTTTTAAGTGGATTCAGTTTATATGCCTTGTTCCTTTGTAATGAAACTTTGAATAAGTCTAATAGGTATTATTCAATAATATGAAATAATGCAATTATTTTTGTTAAGCTATGTTATTTTTCTTTAGGAGGCCCTGAGAAACAAATTTGTAAGAAACTTTGTAGAAACGCAGTTGCACATTGATGTAGACAGACTTACTGAAAACCTCCAGACATACGGTAAGTGTGCTGATGGATGTGGTAGTGTTCTTCTGCCTAAATAGCTCTGCCACTTAGGTGGGTCCTCCCCCTTGGGCCATGACATTGCTAAGTGACTTCCAGCAGGTCGCTTTTCCTCTCTCAGTTTCTATTTTCCTATCTGGATCCTGAAGGGCTTGAATTAAATACACCCCAAAGTTTGTTCATGCCTGAAGTTTTTTTGATTCACTGATTCAGTACTTAACTACTAAAGAACCTAGTTAAAAAGGAAATTGTCTGATTCAAACACAAGAATTGTGAATTACAAAATAAGTTTATAAAAGAAATTATTATTATTGAGTTAAAAGTAACTTGAAAGCCATTGCATACATTTGAAAATGAGAAACTCAGATAAAAACATTACATATCAGTAAACATTTATTGTACCTCTGCGATTGATGAATCTGTGAATTCATTTAGGTGTTTAACAAACATTTGCTGGACACACAAGGAAAGCCAGTTCCATGAAATAATCCAGAAGGGCATAAACTATTCCTGTTCCACCATGCAGTGCAGAGAAGAAGATGACTATGCTTAGAAACTGCAACACTGTGGCAAAATCAGCAATCAGGGCCCTGCCAGAGAAACTCTCAGCAGCCTAACCCAGTTGGCAGGGACCTGGAGTCAGAGGAAGGATGGGTGTCAGGCTGTTCCAGGTCCCTGACTCTGTCACACTCTGCTTGTGCATGAGAAAGGGTTATCTGCCTTACGTATGAAAGTCAGAAGAAGGCAAGACAGTTTATTAGACATAATATAGTACTTCCCTTTAAAACAATTTCTGGTGAATGTAATACTTAATGCTACTTCAGAAAGGTTAATCATATTTTAAAATGTTTTGTATTTTAAATGCATTACATATTTTTTTTCAATTAATTAAAACACCTTTAAAAAAAGAAGTAGCACTGGAAAGCTTATAACAGTGTCCCCATCTTCTGTTGCTGGAACCAAGGACTTACATGGGTCCGAGAGATCCTGTGTGGAACACAGATGTCTCCTGAGTTTGCATCTACCGTGGTGCTAGTGTTAATGCAGATGTCTTAGAGTGTGAATTGTACCTGAGCCACGTTTGTTCAACACGTTGCTGCTTAGCCGACACTACTTTTGAATAGGTTTTCCCATATGTAAGCTTCCATTGTAAAATTAAGAGAAAGTTCCCTAGAAATTTAGAACTTTTCCTACGAGTGTGTTGGGACACAGAATATGAGATTCACATGGAATTTTGAGATCCATGAAGTGTGATCCTCTCTTCTTTCTCCTCCTGCCTGATGCTGGAGGTTGAAGACCATCTCATCCAGGTGAATGTTGGTTATTTTCTCCCACCTGTACAGCCCTCCAGGAGCAGGCACAAAGTGGGGTCAGGCGTTCACGGGTGGGGTGGTGGTTAGGAATTGATCACTGACTGGATGCAAATCTCCTTTTGTAACTTAGCTAGCTAACAAATGAACTCACCTTACTGCATGCACCCTTTTAAAATTTATTCCTAGGTCATACTCACTTTTCTTCATCCTATAATCAGTATCTGGAAACTGAGGTGACTATTTGAAGATATATTGATGCAGCTTCTGGGAATATTTGCCTAATCATGCTATCATTTTTATTCATTATCTAACTTTTATTTTATTTTTATTTTTTTGAGACAGAGTTTTGCTCTTGTCGCCCAGGTGGTAGTGCAATGGCGCAATCTCGGCTCACTGCAACCTGCGACTTCCGGGTTCAAGCACGTCTCCTGCCCCACTCTCGCCAGTAGCTGGAACTACAGGCACGCACCACCATGCCCGGCTGGTTTTTGTATTTTTAGTAGAGATGGGATTTCACCAAGTTGGCCAGGCTGGCTCAAACTCCTGACCTTAGGTGATCCTCCCGCCTTGGCCTCCCAAAGTGCTGGGATTACAGGCGTGAGCCTCTGAGCCTGGTCTCATTATATAACTTCAAAAAATAACTTTTTGCTTTATTACAAAAAGTATATATGTCCGTTGTAGAAACATTAGAAAATACAAATAAGCCAGAAAACAAATCCACCTATAATCTTATCACCACAGATAGCTATTTTAAAAGCCTCAGAGTTCTTTTTTAGATGAATTTATATGTACTCATATAAAGATAAGTATATGTATTTTCACAAAAATGATTAAACTGTTCATATAATTTTGTTACCTGATTGCAAAAAATTAAGATTATTATAAAAGTTTTTTGTATCCATAAATATTGACTGTTACTAAGAAAAAGTCCCTTCATCTAGCTTTGCCTTCCATTTCACTCCATAGTATGAATTTAAACTTAGGAATTTCTTTAGGATTAGTTGTTACATACCTAACTGATATACCTGTGGTAGTATTTCTTGATTTATTTGTTACAGGAATTATCAATTGATTTCCTGCTCTGAAAGATGCAGATTTAGTTTTGTACTACATCATTTCCCTGATCAGTTGCTCCCACTATGCTAATATGACCATTTTAGTTGTCATAGAACAGTATGAGGAGATAAATGTTGTTCAGTGCAGAGCCAGGCTATGCATTATAATGACATTCCCGTATTTACCATGTCTCCCTTTTCCTAGAGTTTTATGCTCTCTTGCTACTACATGAAACACTTGTTCTCCATTACTCCCACCTCCTGTGTGCCAACACATCATCTTTATGTTGAGTACTTTTGTCTGTGCAAACGCCACCCAGACCCCCTACCATGCTCCACCTGGACAGGCTGCCCGCTACTGCCAGCACCCGGCTGCTTTCCTAGGAATTCTCTGCTCTGCTGTCCTGAGGTGGATACCATGATTCCTGGGCTCTATGTCCTCCTTTTTGTTTTGTTGTCATGTTTTGTGGGTTCATATTAATCAGTGTCGTCCTGAAAAAGAGAATGAGAGAAAAAATTCCTGAGTGATTTTACTCAGTAAAGTAAAATTACATCTGAATGATATGTGGAAATATCCCCTATTTCATTACCAATAATTTTGTATCTCTTCTTTCTCTCTCCTTTTTGCTTTTAATCAGTCTTGTCAGTCTTTTAATCAGTCTTTTATTTTATTTTTTTATTATACTTTAAGTTCTAGGGTACATGTGCACAACATGCAGGTTTGTTACATATGTATACTTGTGCCATGTTGGTGTGCTGCACCCATCAACTCGTCAGCACCCATCAACTAATCATTTACATCAGGTATAACTCCCAATGCCATTTCTCCCCCCTCCCCCCTCCCCATAATAGGCCCCAGTGTGTGATGTTCCCCTTCCCGAGTCCAAGTGATCTCATTGTTCAACTCCCACCTATGAGTGAGAACATGCAGTGTTTGGTTTTCTGTTCTTGTGATAGTTTGCTGAGAATGATAGTTTCCAGCTGCATCCATGTCCCTACAAAGGACACGGACTCATCCTTTTTTATGGCTGCATAGTATTCCATAGTGTATATGTGCCACATTTTCTTAATCCAGTCTGTCGCTGGTGGACATTCCAAGTCTTTGCTATTGTGAATAGTGCGGCAATAAACATATGTGTGTATGTGTCTTTATAGCCCACAAAGTCCAGATAACAAATCAACATGCAAAAATCACAAGCATTCTTATACACCATAACCACAAACAGAGAGCCAAATCATATGAAACTCCTATTCACAATAGCTTCAAAGGAAAAAAACCTAGGAATCCAACTTACAAGGGATATAAAGGACCTCTTCAAGGGAACTACAAAC